AATAAACCCCCCCCCCCCCCCCGAATTTAAAAATGTAAAGTCATTCTTATTTCAAGGGCTGTAAAAAAAACATGCAGTAGGCTGGATTTGGCCCATGGGCCATAGTTTGTCAATCCATATACTACATATCCAATAAACATTTAAAAACATATATATTTTTATTGATTTCAGAGAGGAAGGAAGGATAGATAGAAACATCAATGATGAGAGAGAATCATGGATCAGCTGCCTCCTGCATGCCCCCTACTGGGGATCGAGCCTGCAACCCAGGCATGTGCCCTGACCGCGAATCGAACAGTGACCTCCTGGTTCATAGGTTGACGCTCAACCACTGAGCCAGGCCAGCCCGGCTCCAATAAACATTTGTTGAATGAACTAACATTTAGTGTCTGATTAAAACATATACCAAATTGATTAGCATGATAATGATGTGCTGTTAATGAGCAAATGGGCATTGATGTATTTCTTATTAAAATCACGCATATTGAAAATGCTGCTGAATTAAGTAAAAGTCACATTGGATTTTTAAAAGTAAGTTCTAAAGGATTTTTAGACAGCTTTATTGAGATAGAGTTAACATACCATACAACTTACCTGTTTAATGTGTTGTGTACACTATATATATATTTTTTACATCTTCACAGGGCTGTGCAACCATCCACTTTAGAATACAATAAATTTTAGAATATTTTATGCTCCCCCCAAAATAAGTCCCATCCTCATTACCAGTCAGCCCCCCTTCCCCACTCCTCCAGCCCCTGGCAACCACGAATCCATGTTCTGTCTGTGGATTTGCAGGGCTGGTTCATTTTCAGGCCTCCCTGCCTTGCAGATGGGCATCTTCTCTCTGTCCTCAGTGCCCCGGTGTCCCTCTGTGTGTCCAAATTTCTTCTCCTTTTTAAAAATACATTTTTATTGATTTTATTTATTTTTTAAATATTTTTATTGATTTCAAAGAGGAAGGGAGAGGGAGAGAGAGATAGAAACATCAATGATGAGAGAGAATCATTGATTGGCTGCCTCCTGCATGCCCCCTACTGGGGATCGAGCCTGCAACCCAGGCATGTGCCCTGACCGCGAATCGAACAGTGACCTCCTGGTTCATAGGTTGACGCTCAACCACTGAGCCAGGCCAGCCCGGCTCCAATAAACATTTGTTGAATGAACTAACATTTAGTGTCTGATTAAAACATATACCAAATTGATTAGCATGATAATGATGTGCTTTTTATTGATTTTAGAGAGGAAGGAAGGGAGAGGGATAGAGAGATAGAAACATTGATAAGGGAGAGATATCTATTGGCTACCTCCCACACACCCCTCCTGGGAATCAAGCCCTCGACCTGGGCATGTGCCCTGACTAGGGATTGAACCAGGGGCCCCTTGGCTCATGGGTTGACACTCAACCTATTTATTTATTTTTATTGATTTCAGAGAGGAAGGAAGAGGGAGAGAGAGATAGAAACAACAATGATGAGAAAGAATCATTGACCGGCTGCCTCCTCCATGCCCCTCACTGGGGATTGAGCCTGAAACCTGGGCATGTGTCCTTGACAGGAATTGAACCCAGGGCCCTTCAGTCCGCAGGCCGATGCTCTATCCACTGAGCCAAACCAGCTAGGACTCAGGACCCCATTTTAACTTAATCATCATTTAATCACTTCCAGATACAGTCACATTTTTTTAAAAAAATAATTCTTTATTGTTGAAAGTATTACATATGTCCCCTTTTCTCTTCATTAACCCCCTCCAGCTGGCCCCTGCTCCCTGCCCCAGGCCCTCACCGTCCCATTGTCTGTGGCCATGAGCCATGCATATATGAATACAAGGTACTTTGTCGATTACTTCCT